GGTTGTCGGGGGATACCAAAGAGGATAACGCAGAAACGAAGGCATCTGCATATCTGCCCCGACTTTGGCATGGCCACATAATCAGGAGGAATAGTAGCAGCAACAGCAGTTGATGATTTACCAACGGGCCAACACATACTCCAGATAATTACGACGCGGTCTAGACTCTAAACTCTGGCCTAGGTTTCCTTCCCCCATTCGACAAAAGTTGCCAACTGGCAACGGAAAATCGTTGGGCTGGCTGGCACTGACTGCCACTGCCAACATAATCACAAGTTAATCCTCCGTGTAACTTTACCACCAGCAACTGGGCATTTGGGCAGTAGAGTGCTTTTTTCCGGGGGCAGGTTGGAAAAACGGGGACTTTGTGTGGGGCACGGTCCGCCCTGTTCGAATGTAGATAAGCGGCCCTAAGCCAAAGATACAACTTTCAGATACTTGCCAAACTGAAATGTTGCGATGGCTTCGCACTCCCTCAAAAACAGCAGCCAAAGCAGCAGCTTAAAAATGTTTCATTTTTATCGCAGTCAGTCAGAAAACGAGAAAGAGGGAGAAAGAGATGGAGAGGTGGAAATTCCTTTGCAATAATGCCAAAAGAGAATCTTTCTGGTAGGGTTTCCCCTTCCCCTCAGCCGGATATCTTAAGCCAACTTTGATGTTTGACTCAACACACATAGAGGTAAAGGTATCTGAACAGAAAACTTAAAATATGGCGATACTTTAAAATGTTACAAATGTGTATGAAGTATAAGGGTAAGCCTCTGCATTTTTATTTACTCAAAAGCATGTGACCAAACTTACTTACTCAACAGAAGCATAAGACAGTATTTATCAAGTGTATGTAAGGCCAGCTGGTATGTGTATTGTGTGTTCTGAGGCCAAAACACCAAACATGTTTTCTATTATGTGCCTACAACAGAATCTGCAAAGCTTGACGATCGACTCGACTAGTGATCCTGATCAAAAATATATATATATACACAAATATATACTTAATGTGATCGGAAACGCTTATTTCTACCTATTACTTACGAACAAATACAATAAATTAAACATCAAAATAAGTGTGACCAGAGACTGAAAGGTTAGAGTGACCAAGCTCTTAAGTAAAGCATGCTCAGCTGTAAAAGAGAACATGTCTTTTGAAAGTAAATGAATGAAACTCGAATATGTCTTAATGTTTAAGTCAAAAACCAAATCGCAGAGCAAAGGGTATATAGTACAGCATCCCATTTTCCAGCTGTTTATTTTTGAGGACCACCTGCCTTGGTCAACTGTGGGACATTCTTTGCAGCTTTAACAACGTTATTTACAGCTCCGGATGGAGAAAGGGAAAAAAAAGGTAAATGCAAAACGGCAACAAAGAAGGGGAAAACAAAGAAGGAAAAACAAAGAGCGGAAACCAATTCGACGAAAGGTGAAAGGTGTTCGTCTGTTGATTCGACCCTCCTCCACTTTAGCCGCAGAAATCAGCTGGGGGTCTTGGGTCATTTCTCGCCATCTTCTCGACTCTGTGTGTTCCTTTTGAGCTCTTTTTGACTGTGGCAAGAGTTACGCAAATTGCTGAGCTGGCAAAGGCTGTAAAATTTTATTGAGCATACACACAGCCGACGAGCCGGGACAAACATGCGGTTCAGGGGGCGATGGAGTGATGGGGTGATGGTGATTCTATAGGTTCTGTTGGTGATTCCCCCATCTGGTGACTCTGGTGGGCCGCATTACGACCTTAATTTCCAAAAGGAGCTTTGATTTAAAGGGAAAACACGACCAAAGGGCGATGAATTTATTGTCGAGAGTATAAAATGTTATTGCCGTGAAGTAAAGACTCAAAAAAAAAATACCAGGGAGAGGCTTAAGGGGGCGTGTCACCTGTCGGCGGGACAAGGACTAAAACTGTTATTTGCACTTGGCTCAGTTACGTGCCGAATCAATTGAACAACGGCTGATGCTGAAATTCCATGGCTGTTGTAAAGGGGGTGCGTGGCCACAAGGGGGTGGTAATTTCAGGGGACACACGAGTGGGCACTGTAGTTGGGCATAAATCATTTAAGTCGCCTCCTTTAAATGCAAAATGTTTACTCAACACCAGTTGGAAAACGGCTAGAGGCAACCAAATTATTTCGGTTAACTCAAGGCTCGAATTCTGGAATACTGTAGCAATACGGGTTTGTGGAAAGTACAAGATTAACGTATGTAAATATCTAAGATCAATTTAGTCTATATTAGCAATCTTATTCATTGATGTTTTCTCAAAATTCTAATTCTCTAATTCTCAGTAATCATGATTAAATAATATACTCAAGGAGAGAGTTTAGAATACCGTAGATACACGTTAATAGTACATATCTTATCTATAATTGGTTTATAAAAATTCCTTTTTGATTATCAGGAAGCATTTTATAACTTACAACTACAGTTTGATAATTTGTCGATAATTTTAATTAAACTATTATTTAAAATCAACAGATTGCCATCTCTTTTATATAGTCAATAGTCAATATCGTCACTAAATACTCTGAAGAGCTAAGAACATGACTTAAAAGCTACTTAAATCTTTAATGTAAATAATAAACGCACTTCCCTCTAAATATGTTGTTACAAAGTAACGAATTTATATACTTTGCAGGATTCAAGTTATTGTCTTCCTTGTAAAGTTTAGGACTAACATGTAATACCCTCTGAAAGGCTACATAAAATGGAGAGGTAGGCAGCTGCCCTTAGTGCCCATAAAATTGTTGTAAATTCAGTGGGTGGTTGGGCGGTGCTATTGGTGGCTCACACCTGCCTCGCATGCCAAATGAAGTAAAAGATCTTGGCTCCAGAAAATCTAACAACGTTGCCACCGGGTGATGCATATTTGATGCTTGTTTTACATATGCCAACAATCCAGGGACACATGCTCGTAGCGTATCCCAACCACCCAAAGAATGTAACCCAGCATAACCCACACCACCCACCGCACACACGCACACATTGCCAAAATTTGTCACTGACAATTTTCATTAATTTAAAAAGCCAAATAAATTGTGAAGCTTCAACCGCAACAAGAGCAAACATCTATGCCAACAAAGCGGAAACAAGCAACTGACGCATATCATTAAAGAGTAGTTACAGTGGGTGGTGCTGGGTGGTTGGGTGGTGCGGTGGGTGGTTTTGCTGTGTGTGAGATATGTCTATATAAGACGCTCTTAAATGGATCGCTTGTTTGTGACGCAGGTAAAAGTTGCCGAAAAGCACCCACCCATACGCTAACCCACGCAAAATCAGGGACAAAGAGTTGAAGCCACCAAGCGGCATAGAAGTGGTCTGAAAAATGGCATTTTGGCAAAAGCGAAATAAATGATAAGCTTTACTGCATGTGAGACATGTTAAAACATTGCAAAAAGTACATTTTACAGTAAATTCTTATTAAACTGAATACTTAAAAGTCTAAGCCTGACATGTTCTTAAAAAATGATTATTTCTTTAGATACTTCAAGAGATCTGAGAGACAAGGCAATTAATTAAAAACGTAAATAATAGTCAATTTTGTATTTAAACATTTTAATGTGCAAATAACAAATGTGGAAATACTAATTAAAGTTCAATGAACTCCATAATCCCTACGCTTCTTTATCTTCAGGTTAAAACCCTCATCAATTAAATTTAATATTTTCCAAGCAGCAAATTCGAATATCTTTTCGCTATCCTCGTTAATTATAATTACCACAATGAAATTTGATATTATAGAGCGCGTTAAGGTGCAAAATAAATTATTATTCGTGGAATTTCGTGCATCTGTTTCTGGAATTTACACACTTTGTTGTAACGGTTAAGTCTAGTGGTTAAACGGATGAATTTTCAAGAGGGTCAACGAACCAATGCAATGGAAACTTATAAAGCGGGAACTTTGTTGCGATTTTACGCTTGGTGTTTGCCTATCCGTATACTTATATTTATATATACTTTATATGAATATATAGCTCCTGAAGCTTCAACTTCCGATGTCTGCACCCCCGCACTTTGAATGACACCGGCAACAACCAGAAAACCAGCAACCCACTCAGCCTGTCAGAAGAAAACACTTCCTGTCATCACACACACGGTGGGATGGTAAGAGGGACGAGGAAAACCACCCACTCACACACACACACACTGGCACATGTGAAAAGTTACAGGATCCTTTCGCCAGCAGTCATGCTAATAATTTGATGGCACAAGCGAGCGAGCAGCGACAACGTCAGGTGTAAAATATTGTTAAGCGCAAACACAGAAGCAGGATGACACACACGCACCACTTGTAACCACACACGCCACGCCCCCATGCACAGAAAAAAATTTTTTTTTTTTTAAATTAAAAAATAAAGGAAAATATTTCAAGTTCAATTGAACAGAAAGACTTGGCCCTTTTGCACCTACGCACTAGTACTTTATGTTATTTAAAACATAATTTAAAATTAGTATATATACAAATAATAAGCAGCTCGGGGACTTAACAATATTTTATAAACCAGAAGCGATTACTCTACCCTCTAGGCCATTGCACTATTTAAAATTATTGAGGCCTTAGTTCTAAAATTTGATTTTAAAGTGATTAAAGAAAAACAATTCACAAAAGAAACAAAATTAAGAAAATAAGCTATGTCTATGAAAGAAGCCCTAAATCCTTGAATTTAAAAAGTATAATTTTCTCTTTGTGTAAACCATATTCATATGCAAATCGTGGAAAAAAGAAAAACCAGCCGGCGCCGAGGAAAGGGGGAAAACAAGCTGGTGGAGCAAGTTGAAAGGCATTTCGTGTTGATGTTGCGTTTTCATTACGCGCAATTTCGGCTGCCACGCCCCTCGTGTTGTTAATTTTCTTTGATGCCGCAGCGCAAATTGAATTAAATTCTATTAAAAAGTCACCAGCATACAGCAGTCAGGATAAATGTTTCGAAAATCTGGGATTTGCCGGTTCCTTTCAATTGTGCGAATGTTTTTGGGAATGGGGAACAACAACAACAACAACAAGAACTCACCTGCAAATTGGGCGGACAATGATCCAGCAGCTCCAGCATATGTTTGATATTCTGCGCATCCTGTATCACAAAATTCAATTCCATATCGAATTCACCGCCGACCAGCTGCAAAGAAATTAAAAAATATAGAAATATATATGAGTTAAATGTGTGCTGTTGGAATATTGTATAAACAATATGGGGAATTGTTGAAAAATGTGTTCACAATTAGTGAAAATCATTTCTCGCCTTTCATATTTTTATTTTGTGGTTTAAATTTATTTTGTTGGCTCTGCATGTGGATAATCTGGGGTAAAAATATGCGAAAAGTTGAAGGCAGATTTGTAATTGGTAAAGTTTGAATTGGAAATAATGGATGTGTGTTTTGAAAGCGTGTGTTCAAGTGGGGCGGACACGGGAAATGGAAAATGGGAAATGACTGACAAAAGTTTTAAGGGAGTCGAGGACCATGGGATAAAAGACCAGAGGAGAACGAACAACTAACAGTTGGCTTAAATCCGTTGATTGGATAAAATCAATGTAGTTTCCATTTATCTAGACCACACAACAGTGCAAAGCCCCAGATAACTTTACCGGCTGCTTTTAATTGAAATGGAATTCAATGTTTCGCAGTTCAGTTTTATTTAGTTATTTATTTAAACTAAAAACTGTTTTTTTTTTGTTGGACTTCAAACTCAAAGTGGCAAATAAGTGTGTGTTTTGGTAAAGTTTCATTTATTGTAGTTCGAAATGTTTTTTTTCAATATACCCCATCAACATAGAATACTTATTGATTTAAAGTCTACCTTAAATTTTAAAAGTTTGGAATTTATATAGAAATTAATTGGTCGAATCTACATATCTAATCGTTATCAAATATATTTGTATAATTTGAATATCTTGAATTTAGTTTTTTAAGTTCAAAAGACAATCGGTCAAAGTCTTTGTCATTTTCTTTTTGCAATTTAAGCACCAAAACTATAAATTCCAATGGGTAGTGGTTTAAAATTCCTTAAACTTAATTCTCTTTGATGGATGATGATCCGAATTTAAAAAGCCCAAATCTATGCTTCATTTTCTTATCGCAAAGTGAGATTTCGATGGCAGCGGGAAGGGATTATCATTTAGCAAGCCATTTGAGAGGAAAGTCCTCCCTTCCTTCTACTTTCACCCCCATTATTTTTCTCCGCCCCCCTTCCCGCTTTTAGTTTCCGTGGGCTTAGGCTAAGTACAGTCGAGTGTGTTAACTGCTTGAGAGCGTGTCCTAGACACATCCTTTTGCCATCGAGGAGCAATCAGGCCGCCCTTTCAGCGGCAACAACAATAACAATCAAGGATGTTGAGAAGGGGTGGTGGTGGAGTAAGAAACACCCCCCAGTCACGTCACAAAAACGGCGGCGGCAAAAAAGGTTCTAACTTAATTATGCCAGGCGCCAACAAAATCCACTTCCTCCGAAATTTCAGGACCCCCGCCCCCCTTTAACACCCGAAAAATCAGGGCCACGCCCCTGCTTTTTACCCACTGTCAATATATATTTTTCTACCAAAAATAAAATGTTTTTTTTTTCTTGCTTTTTGCGCGCTTTAATAAAATCAACAAAAATAAATTCAATAAATTGATTAGAGTGAATGGGAAATAGAACTAGAGAGAGGGAGAGAAACTGTGCTCTGTCTAGCTCACAAGTGGTTACAAGTGTCCTTACACAAACACACACACATCCAGACACACACACCCCCCCGCCACACACACACACACATGTAGAGCGATATAAATCCGCAACTGTATTTATGTCTGTTTTTGTTTGTTTTTCTCGCATTTTTTCTGGCCAAAACTAAGGGGGAATAAAGGGGGTGCTTTGGCGGCCGACAGTTTGGCGCCTGGCCATCAATGGACCACACCCACAATCCAGTTTCCTTTATGTCCCCCAAGACCCAACTCACCCACTACTTTTGTGCGAGTGCACTCGAGAGCTGCTTTATAATTATGCGAAAACGATTTTACCGGCTTTCCTCCATCCCCTTCCCCCTCCCCCCCCCCCAACACTTTTTGATCCCTTTTTGCGGTTTATAGCCACGGCCACGCCCTCGCCACGCCCACGCCTTATCACCTAGCAACAACAACAGAGGGAAAAAAACAAAAAGAAAAGCAGGTAACAATATGGCCAGCAAATCTGTTTTGATGCGAACATAAAGCGAAATCAAAGCCAGAGACTTCTCACCCCCGCATTTGTTCCCCCGCTTTTCGTGGCAATGAAAACAAACAGCGGAAGAGCCCTCTAAGACCCACGGATTAGGGAGCAATTTATAATGCCCCTTTAAGTCGGACGCCCAACCAAGCCAAAACCAAACCAAACCAAGCCAAACCACCCAACCACTGCCAATCTCTACAAAAGGATTTCCCTTATTTCGCAGCATAAACACAAAAAACAGTTGCGCATACTTGATGTCTCTGATGAATTCATTTCACTGTACTTAGCCCACTCGAAAGCAATTAAAGCTATATATAATATACATTATATTCATGCCGAACTTTATTGCGAAATGCCAATTAATACCATTTAATTTGAAATTAATTTTTTCCTATCGCATTTATTGGGATAAAAATTACCAATATTATATAAGGAAATGATTTCTTTTTTAGATAAAATAAATACCATATATAGAAATTAACTAAACCAAATCAATTCATATATTAAAAAAAGAAAATATATTTTAAAAAGTGTAATAAAGAATAAAAAAGGGAGTGTGGGGTAGAGGAAAAACGCTCATTCATATTTAAATTAAACTTTGCGGAAAGTTTTTTGAGTTTTCCTACCCATCCACCACCACCCAATTAACTGTGCCCACCCACAATTTCAGCCTGTTCCGCAACGTGTCTTAGTACAAGCATTTTAAACGCCGCTTAATTATATTCGTTTGCCCACCCCGCCGCCGCCCCTCTCCCCTCGCCCAAATCTCCACAGTTTTCTTTCCCCAACGGTTTTCCAGCATTTCCCCAAGGAGCCTGAGCTTCGCACCTTTTTCTAGCACATTTAGTCAATTTTAAGTTCATTTGAAAATAAAAAAAAATAAAAAAAAGTTTTTCCTTTCTTTCGTTTTTCTTTGCTGTAGATTCTCTTCTACATTTCATTTGTGCGGCGGAAAAGCTGTGGAAACTCTGGCATTGACGTGTCGCCCATCCGCCAGTCACCTTGTTATCCCCACCCACCTGGGCGCTTATTTAAAGTAAATTGAATTTCTATTTTATTTAAAATGCGCATTGAGACGCTCTAAAAGTTCCTCAAGTGGCAGCATTTCCCCGGAGAAGAGTGGAAACGGCAGTTTTCCGGGGGTTATTTGGGCGGTGTGAAGGTGTAAAAATTACAATTTTACACTGGCAATGAGACCGAAATTTCTTTCTTTGTTTTTACTTCTTCTTAGGTAAGGGGAATTTCCCTTCAATCTCTTTGCAAAGTGAAAGAGAGTTTGCCTTATCTCTTTTGTAATTCAATTTGATTTGAACAAGGAGATGGCACAAAAAAAGAGGAAAATATAAAGGGGCGTTAACTGCATTGAAACTGTAATTGGGGCTGACTTAACTTTTTGAATAAATAAAAAAGTCAGTTATGGCACGAAACTTTTATCATTTTCATATCAGTAATGAATTGGTTACGAAATAAGTTTGAGTTCAATACGTATGTAATAAATTTGAGAATTTATAATTTAAGCTGGCATTTTAAAGAAAAAACAAATTAATCTGTAAAATGTTAAATTAATTAAATTCAATTATAAACACCTGTGTAATATTGTATTTTTCAAACCTTCGAATATTTAAACAAATTTTGTATATAACATTTAGGACCTTAATTTTGTCCATATTTATTGGTGATGTTACTGTGTTACTCAATATTTTTACCAACATAATTTCATTTAAATCTATTCATCTAAAACTCAAATAAAATCCAAACTAAATTTGGTTTTAAGCGAACTTTGCTGTCGATTATTATGTGTATTGATTCGTTCTTCGCTCAACATCCTTACTAATTTTTTTGGCTACATTTCCCGAGCCATTGGCAATCCCCCAAGAACCTTGATTACGCCTATGCAGATATTCACAGCAATTGAGTCGCAGGTCTCGGGGAAAGCCGCCTTTTCCCCCTTCCCCAATTCTTCTTGTTTGGGGAAATGCGTTCTGTTCTGGCTTTTCCGACTATTCTCGCCAGACTTACCCACACTCCTTGTTCTTTTTCCTTTTTTTTCTGGGACAAGGCCCTCATCACCTTGCCACTTCACCCCCCTCGGCTTTGTGGCGAATTTGCCGACTCTCCACACTTTCCACCCACAGCCACCCCCTTTCCTGTGTCATTAGGGAATATTCGCAGTTTTCTCGTGGTTAAGCTTTTAAAACAGTTTTGAAAAGTACAGAGGCCCTGGAGTTTCTCCACCCACGCTTATCATACGTAAAAATTGTTGCCACAGTTTCGTTTTTACGTATTCCTTTTTTTAGCGCTACTTTTAAGTTTCGGTTTTGGTTTTGGGTTTTCCCTCTTTCTTTTTTTTTTTTTGGGCTTCACTTCTTTTGTGTGTTTTACTCAATTTCTGTTTTACTTTTGCTCGGAACCAAAGGAACCAAAAAAAAAAAGAATTGCTCGTTGGGGAAATTTTCCTGCTCAAGTTTTTATTGTTTCTCTTTGGTTTTTTTTTGTATTTCCTTTGGCTTTCTTGGCACCTCCTTGAGGGCTTCCCAAAAGCAACTTGGTAGATTACTTTTGATTGTTCTATTTGAATATTTTACAGCTGGCATTGCGGCAAACTCACTGCCTGATGGCCTCATTAGTTGTGACTCCATTGGGGTCTGGAATATATCTCCTTTTTTTTGGGGAATTATTGATGATCTGGGGGAGTGGGGGGAAATTTATCGTTCCCAAATCCAAAACTCCCACATCATTTATCATCACAAACAATTGCCCTGGGCCAAAACATTCTCCTATAATTATTACTTTTCCACCTCCTTTCACTTCCTCATTTTCTTTGATAAAAGGATTCCGTGGAACAGACACACATATACGTATAACTGACAGACATCATCCGGGAAAAAAGCAAGGAAACCAGAGAAAAACAATAAACAAAAATAGGTGTATGGCGCA